TCGAGACAGGGTTTCTCTGTGTAGCCCTGGCTATCCTGGAACTCACTCTGTAGACCAGGCTAGACTTGAACTCAGAAATCCGCCCGTCTCTGCCTCCCAAGTGCTGGGATTAAAGGCGTGTGCCATCACCACCACCCGGCTCCAAGCCTGACTTCTTTTCAGGAATGTGTTGATGTAACCTCATGCTGACTTTGAACTCCTGATCCTCTAGCTTCTAGCTGGAGGTCATACCCATGCACCATTATTCCAGGTACTGAACTTGGGGCATCTGAAGTACTCATTCTAAGCATTTTTTGGTTTTGATGTGGGTTCTGGAAATCAAAACCAGGTTCTCTGCTGGCAAGATAACTGAGCTATCTTCTCAGCCCTCAGCTAAATCATTTAAAGGTGCCTGTACCTATTGGTCCTTTTAATGGCTATTTATTTATTTTAATGTGTTCTAGAACAAACTAGCCCCTGCCCTGTTTCCAAGAGCTCATTGCTGAACCCAAGGCCACGCCTCATTTGATGACCCTAGGGTATGAGCTATTGCGTGAGAGTTGCTGGCACTGTGGTTCTCAGATCAGAAGAGATGGGCCTCTCCTGCCACTCTGTCCTGGTGACTAAGGACAAGTGTTTTCCGACAAATATGGCTGCCTGAGCAGCCCTGTGAGCCAGAGAGCTTTCCTAGTCCCCAGGTTCTGGGTGTGTCCCTTATCAGTCACACTCAACATAGATGAGGCGTTGGCCCCATTTAATCTGGTATCTGCAAACTTAGCTTTGGAGAGATATCAGCAGGTAAGAGTCACACACTGCTCTTGCAGGGGACCCAAGCTCAAAGCTGCCCTAAACATTAACTATAGCGATTTGATGTCCTGCGTGCGTGCGTGCGTGTGCGTGTGCGTGTGCGTGTGCGTGTGCGTGTGCGTGTGCGTGTGCGTGTGTGTGTGTGTGTGCGCACACACTTAAAAATCAAAATAAATCTTTACAATGAAAACTTAGCTTTGGACCAGTGAGATGGATCAGTGGGCAAAGAAAGGATCTGAAGCCAAGGTTGAAGTCATGAATTTAATCCCTGAGACCTGAAGAGTGGAAGGAGAGAACTCACTCTTGCAAGCTCTCCTATGAGCTCAGTACGTGCACTGTGGCACACATAGGAAACACATGTAATTTCTAATGTCAGCTTTACAAACTCCACAGGTTCTTAACATTTAGCAATTTATTTATACATTGTGTAAGAAAATAAAGCCTAGGAGGGAGTCAGGAGACCTCAGGGTTCATTAGAAGCCACAGCACTCCTGAAGTAAATATCCAGCGTAACTGTAACAGGACACTGGAAGCTAATTTAACTAAGATATAAAAACATTAGTTAAATACATACAATTCTGGGGCAATATACATTATAGCTACAATCGGTGTTTTGTTTTGTTTGTTTGTTTGTTTTCAAAACAGTGGGATTCGTCCTGGTGTGTCTTCTTCTCCATTATCTGAGGAGGGAGAGTCACTGTGCGGTCCTGGATCTCCAGGCTATGAAACTGAAGTATGTGTTTCCAGCATAGCAGATGGTGACCAGGAAGGCAAAGAACTGTGGAGAATGAAGTACGGGAGAGACGGGCTTCAGCACATGGCCTGATTAGCAAATGATTGTTTCCTTCCACTGTGTTTGGTGCTTAAACTGCCCTGGATCCCATCTGGGGTTCCTTCTCTAAACCTACATTATTGCTTCAGTAGCATTTTTTTTCTTTTGTTTTTCGAGACAGGGTTTCTCTGTGTAGCCCTGGCTGTCCTGGAACTCACTCGGTAGACCAGGCTGGCCTTAAACTCAGAAATCTGCCTGCCTCTGCCTCCCAAGTGCTGGGACTAAAGGTGTGCGCCACCACCGCCTGGCGCATTTTTCTTTAAAATTCACCACCACCACCATCATCATCGTGTATGTGGCGTGGCGGTCAGAGAACAACCTGTGGGAATCAGCTCTTTGTTTTTACCAAGCAGGTCCCTGGAACCAAACTCAGGTCATCAGGTGTGGTAGCGCACACCAGTAACTACGAGGTCATCCCTCCCTGTCTCCTTTTCTGCTGTGTTCTGGCCCTGAGTTTCTGGGACAGGTTTGAGGATTCCTCAGGGAGTTCACTGAGGGGTCATGATGGAGCTGTGGGCACTTAATCTAGTTCAGGTAACCTTAGACAGGGCTCAGCCTCTGGTGTCTGCCACCAGCTCTTAGACGTGAGGTGAGCCAGCCACTGGAGTACACACCAGACAGGTTTTTGTCTATGAGTCTCAAATCTCAATTTGCACATCTCTGTGAGGAGGAGTTAGTCGGGGGGTTCAGCTGCAGGAAGGGAGGTTGTCACTGTTAAAGATTCACTCTGCCCTACAAGGGTCCTAACTGTACGCCACACCTTCAGCTATCACTCTCCTCAGCTAGCATATTCTGGCTCGTTCTTTCTGTATGTTAACACGAGTCTAGCCTATATGTTTTAATGCCTTGTTGGCTAGCAACCAGTCGACTGCTGTATTGTTGCTATTGCAAATGGTCTTTGTATCTTGCAGATAACATGACTCCCCCCCCCTCCTGCCCCATCTCGAACAGGCCTTGGGAGGAAGTTTCAGGAGGCTATGGGTGGTGTTTAGGGGGACTCACTCACCGAGGAGGCTGCCCAGCTGTTGAAGTTGTAACCTTCCTTCTCTGGGGAGACAGAAGATGCATCCACGATGGCAGCTGAGAAGTACAAGATGAAGGCACTGCCATTAAAGCACAGGCCCTGTGAAGAGGGGCAGACTGTTGAGGGAAGGGACCTCGCGACAGGTGGGAACTGTACCCCAGTGTGTGAGGGAACCAAGTGGACAGCTAGAGAAGGCCAAGAAGAGAGCGCGTCGCTGCAGCTCCAGCCCAGGATGTCACCAGCCCCAAAAGACCTCCAGACCACACACTGTCCCTTTATCCATCCCTCCTCCTCCGCTGGCTCTTGGTCCCCAGATGCTGGGAACCTCAGCATGGTGATCTGGTACAGAGAGGCAGACTGAAGGAAGGGATGTGCGGTGTCATCTATTCCACCACAGCCCAGCTGTGGCCACCTGACACACGTTCTCCGTTATAGACCTTCTCCTGGGCTCCCGATTCCAGGGGTTGCACAGTTAGGTTGCACACTTAATGTAGGCATGTACGATGTATGTATGTATGTATGTATGCATGCATCACCTAGACAAGTCTCTGTTGACGTCCTCAGAATCTTCTTCACCTGTCACGTCTGCAGACCTATTACAAGTTTACGGGCAACCACAAGAATCTTTCTTGTGATATATTAGATAATGGGCGGTCTTCCACAAGTCAGTCTGCATCAGCCCTTTAAGAAGGAAACTGAGCTCAGAGGATCATGTAACGAGAGCCAGGTAGACATTTTGTCTGTGACATTTTGTCTCTTCCTTTTGTCTGGGGTTCTTCCCAATAAGGCCAGTGCCGTTACCAGGGAGGGCAATGAAGGGCGGCCACTCCCTTTCTGCCTTGGACAAGTCTGGGAACTTGAACCCATGTAAGAAACGGGCATATGGCATTTTACAGAGATGGGATGGTTCTCAAGTGAGCTACTGAATGCTTACGTTCAACAGAAATAGCTCAGTTTTATAAGTTGCAAACAAAAAATGCACACTATGCATTTAGTATGTGCTGCTTAATAAATTGTCTTTAGTTATTCAAGCCGAGAGAGAGAGAGAGAGAGAGAGAGAGAGAGAGAGAGAGAGAGAGAGAGA